AAAAAAAAAAATCTTAAAAAACAAAACAAAACAAGGCTAACACATGGGTTGGGTGTTAGGTTATAGGCTCACCTTCTGTAACCAAAGCCTAAATAACCGAGGCTTAAATAAAATACAATTTCATTTCTCTCTCATGTAATACTCCAGGTGGCTCCCTTATGATGGGGACCCAAATTCTTTCTGGCTGCTTTGATATCTTCAATGTGTGATACTGTCTCTTGGTCTAGTGTGGCTGCTCCAGCTCCTGTCATTGCATCTGCATTCTAGCCAGCAGGAAGTAGAAAAGGGGGAGCAGAATATACCCCATTTCTTAAAGGACATAGCCAAAAGTTGTAAATATTATTTCCACTCATATCTCATTGGCTCTAATGAAGTCACAGGAGTACTTTTAGGTGAAAGAGAGGCTAGGAAATGTACTCTTTAGCTGGGTGGCCCTAGACTAGGGGTTTGCTTACTAAAGGAAGAAGGAGACAATTAACATCCCGTTATGCTCTCCTAGTTCAGGGCAGATAAGCTGTTACACTGTGAAGACATACAACCCCCAGATCTTAGTGGGTCAACACAACTAAGACTTATTGCTCACTTACATCTGACATGGCTTAGCAGGGGGCCCCACTCATCACAGTCACGCAGGGAGAAAAGCTGATGGATGTGCCCTCTTGATGCAAAGGAAGGGGATGGGTGGCAAATTGGACTCTGGTTTGTGAAGGCTTCTACCTGGAAGTGACATATAGTAACCTCTGTGCACATTGCAGTGGCCAAAGTAAATTCCATAGTCATGGCAAATCTGGGACGGGGGCTGGAGGGGTTAGGGAAGTGTGATCCAGCTAGAATATTTATGACAAGCAATAATGGTCTCCACCTTCATTCACGTGCCTGTACTTTACTTCCCTTTGCTTCTCCCCACCCTGCCCCTCAGCCTCTTTCAGCCAGTAGATTCAGATTTGGATGAGATTATATGAGAGGATATACACTAAGCTGTTAATAAGTAGGGAAACCCTGGGCAAAAAATGAAAAGAAAAAAAATCCAAAAGCTACACTTTAAGAAAGCATATATGTTTATAATAACAATTTTGTATTGATAGAAGAGAGCGAGAGAGAGAGAGAGTGTGTGTGTGTGTGTGGTTTCTGTATAAATTTAATAAAATAATAAAAAAAAGAAATTTGTAAAATATAAACTCATTTACCAAACCAAGCAGATAATAATAAAGCAGTACCATATTAACCATAACCATATCAGGTTTGGATATGTTTGGATACACATTACAAAAAACCTAAAGTAATTGTAACAAGATAAAACTTGATTTTTTCCCCCCTCCAACTTAAACCAGTCTGGGCGTAGGCCATCCAGAGCTTGAATGGTTTCCACTTTCTAGGTCACCTCATGGTGCAAGACAGCTGCAGAAGTTCCAGCCATCACATCTGAAATTGAAGCAGCAGTTAAGAAGGTGGGGAAGGCAAAAGGACTCACCTCCCAGCTGACTCAGCTCCTTTAAAGCAGCTTGAACTCATGACCCTGAGATCAAGACCTGAACTGAGATCAAGAGTCAGATGCTTAACCAACTGAGCCACCCAGGCACCCCTACTCACCCAGTCATAACAGCAAAGGAGGTTGAGAAATGCAGGTTTTTTTTTTTTTTTAAGCTACTGGGAACTTTGCTATAAAATAAAATGTATTCTAGTTTTTAAGGAAAGCCAGAGAGTGGATAACTTTGTTGGGAGCTACCAGCCCCTGCCTCACTGGTGCAATTTCTTTCTGGGTCGTACAGGCAGAACTGCTGAGTGCAGAGGGGGAGTCAGGAGGAAGGAGCCCCAGTGAGAAACCAGCCAGACCAATCTGACTTGCAAGTCTGGAAAAAAATAAGACAAAGTCCTCACTGAAGATCTCCTGGAGACCAAATTGGGGATCATGCATACCACAGGTTGAAACTTCCTTTAAAAAACTGCTTCTTCAACCAGTTCCCAAATCCCTGCCCACCAATACCTCAGCTTCTCAAATATCTTGTTACACCTCAAACTCTGGCCTACCTATCTAGCTCTCCTCACTTCCGTTGACATCACTTCCCAATCCAATAAATGGACTTAACAAGATCCAGTGCTGAGGAGCTAAACAAACAAACACTTTGTAGAAGCGGGTAGAGAGGAAACACAATGAGTATTTTGACTTTGCTATTTTTTTTGCTCTTGATTATCTGAAGGACTGAGATGTCTTGGGGAACAGAGATCTCCTGTGTCCTCTCAAATTCCAACCAACAATGTAACCTCCCTGAGGCTGGAGATGCTGTCTGTTCACCTTTGTAACTGCAGCTCTGAGCACTGAATGTATGTAGAAGGAAAGAGTAAGAGAAGATAAGGAGCTGTCTTCTCTTGCGCGCTCTCTCTCCCTCTCTTTTGCATGTATCAGGGTCACTCTCAAACATGAATGAAGTTGGGTATAACTGAGGCATGGTATAGGGGACATGAGTGCTAGTGATGGGACACCAGGACCAAAGGGGGTGGGCTAGAGCCAGCGGGAGCTGAAAAGAGCCAGGAGTGGAAAAATGGAGGAAATAAAGTAGGAAGAGCACCCTCTCCTGGTGCCACCTGCTTCAGATGACTCAAATTTCCTGCCACTTTTTCCTCCCTCCTTCCCTCCTTTGCCCTAATTCTCCATCTTTGGTGATTTATTAGGGCCAGCCCCACCCCCGCCTCCCAAACCCAGATGACTTGGCAATGACCCGTTTGATGCGGAAAGTATGCAGCAGTTTGTCATTTCCCCTCAACAACCTGGGTGGAATCATCGTGTCTGTCGCATTCGCATGTTATTACTGTCATTGTTTTAGGAGTTTCTAGCATTTGCAGAAAATGGTGAATAAAATAGGTTCTGCCTGTCCTTATGAAAATTACTATCCAGGGGGAGTGAATGGTCGGTTACACCAAAATGTAGTAAATGCTAAGAAAGGAAAAAGTGTGGGGTGTTTGAAGAACAGACAAGGGGGCACTTACCGAGTCTTGGGGGTACAAGAGGGGCTTTCCAGTAGAGTCTAATACCTAAGGGGCACGAGTGACAGAAAATCCCAAACAAGCGTGGCTTACGCAAGGTAGTTTATTTCCCTCTCCTGTGAAAGTCCAGAGGCAAGCATCCAGCAGTGTCACGATGCTCCATGGTGCCAGGGCTCAGGCTCCTTCTGTTTTGTTGTGCCTCTAGGTATGGCCTCCATTCCGTGGTCAAATCACAGTTCAAGATGACTACTTTCCCTCCAGGCATCATGTGCCATTTCACCTGCCAACACAGTACCAGTGAATGAAAGGATTGCTGCATATAAACTCAAGTTAATCCATCAGTAGTATTTTCTATTTTTTTTTTAAGAGAGAGAGAGTGCATGCATGCGCACGTGAGTGAAGGGGGGAGGGGCAGAGGGAGAGGGGAGAGAATCCCAAACTCAGCGTGGAGCGGGATGCTGGGCTCGATCTCATAACCTGAGTCGAAATCAAGAGTCGGATCTTTAATTGTCTGAGCCACCCAGGCGCCCTGTGTTTTCTAATTTTTTTAACCACCAAAGTAATATATGCACAAGATTAAAAATTATATAGCACAAAAGGCTTATGAGACAAAGTGAAGGTCATCCGCCCTGGTCTGCCTGACCCCTCAATAACAGTTTCACCCCAGTTTCGGACAGCTGCTGTCAACAGGAGCCACTCTGACGTTATGTTCAAAGTGAGATGTTTGCAAAAACCAACCATGATAGCCCTCAAATAAATCAGTAGCTGAGATTGCCTTCCTCATGATCCCTTCTGAGCTCTAGGGGTGATCACTGAGTGAAGTGTGATCATCTGGCCCAAGGGTGGTTGATCCATAAGCCACCTGGCAGCTGGGAGAGGGCAAGAAAGAGGAAGCTCTGCCCAACAGGGGCAGTGGTGATCACCATAGCCAATCAGATCCATTCTCTCTAGAATTTGAAATAGAAATTTTGAGACTTATCTGCTGAAAGGAATTTTGGTGTCACAAGGAAAGAGCAGAGTCAAGTAAGGAGGATGAGGCCTTGAATACTGCTGTGCCTGGTGCTACCACCCGCCTTGGACTTTATGGTTATGTGACCCAATAATTCCCAATCTGCCGAAGCTGGTTTGAGTTGGGTTTCTGTCACTAGCAATGATGGTCTTAATTCAACACCTAATAAGATTGCGAGTTTTGGGTGGTACGGTTTCCTTGGTCTAAGAAGCTCTCCTCCTGGGACCCCACTTTTACAAAGCTGCTATCATGGACCCTGCTGAGAGGCAAAACAGGGACTGGGGTTCGCCTGGTTGTTGAGTACAGGCTGCCCAGGGAAGAGAGCGCTGGCTGGCATCAGGCCCTTCCTCCCAGGTCATCAGTCTCGTGATTGGGGCAGGGGGGATGTATAAGGACATCTGTCAAGCACTACCCACAAAGAATGGACTAAAAGTGCAGTCTAGGGCCTCGGGAAACTACGCAGAGTTGTTTTGAGGAACCCGCTAGCCAGTTCCAAACTGACAGGCACTTCTCTCTGCCAGGGAAGGACACAAGACAGGTCCGTGGTGACTCCCGTCCTGGGGCCAAACGGTGTCACGGCCGTGGGCGTGTGGTCCTTCAGCCTGAGCTCAGACCACCTAGGGCGTTCCCCAGGTGCTAGGATTCCATTCAGTTCTTCTCCATTCGGCCCCTTTCGGGCCGCCTTGAACAGCCTCCCCAAAGCCGAGCCGGATAAAACAAACCGGCCCCCTCCTCGCCCGCCAGAGAACTCGCCGGATGTCTGCGCAGGCGCACTCGCCCAGGGCGGTCGAGTCTCCGCCCAATGGGCGGTAACCCCCCCAGGGGCGGGGCGGAGGCCGTTAGCGGGGCGGGGCCGGGCGTCCGCCGCTCGCGGGAGGGTCTTGTGGGGACTCCCATGGGTGTGACCCGGGGGGCGGTGAAAGGGGGGAGCGGTGTCGTGGTGACTCAGACCCACGGGCCAGACAGCGTGGTGCGGGACGAACGGCGCGGGCCCCGCTGCCAGGCCCGGACGTTGGAGGGGTGTCACATCCGGCGGGAGGGGGCGGGCCTGCGGGTCCCGGAAGTGTGGGCGCGGGCCGTGGTTTAACCCGCGGCGGCGGTGGCGGCAGCGGTGGCGGCAGCGGTGGCGGTGGCCGGGGCAGGTGAGCGGGACCCGGGGAGGGGCGAGGACGGGGAAGGGGGTGGCGCTGGCAGTGGCTCCCGGCGCGCCCCCGCCTGTCGGCCTCATCCTGGCAGAGGCCGGTGATTGGGTGCGAGGGGCGCGTGACTGCCGCGGGCGCATCTGCCCCTCGCCGCGGAAGGGAGGGAGGCCGGCGCCCCTGCCCCTAGCGCCCTCCCCTCCCTTCCCCCTGCAGGTGGCGCCTCCGGCCCCGCCCCACCCCTCACCTCCACCCTCCAACCCCCCCATCCCATATTTGAGCATCTTGCTGGGCACAATTCTAGTGACGTTAGAGCCAGTTTGCCCATTGTACAGATGGGGAAGCGGGCCTAAGAGCGGGGGCCAGAGGTAACACGGGAGGCCGGTGGCAGGGTAGGGTCACAGAGACTCTGGTCTGTGACTCCCTGCCTGTGCCCTTTCCCCAGGACAGTGAAAGAAACGGGCTTTCAGCCTCGGCTCTGTTTTCCTTTTTTCTGTACCCAGACTAGGAGCGCCCAGCATCCTTGACCAAATCCTACTCCTGGACCTGCTGGGTACAAAGGGCATTGGGGTGTGTGTGTGTGTATCTGTATATATTTGTATCTCTCTCTAGTATATGTCCCGTTCCTCGTGGGTACAAAGGGCAGTGGGGTGTTTGTGTGTCAGTGTATCTCCCATAGGTGCCTGGTTCCTCCTCATTTCTTCCCCACATCCAATAAGGTGCTTATTTTCCCACTTTATGGGTGGGAGAAGGAGTTACTTGGGGCTGTGTTGTGAGTTACTGGCAGAGTTGACCCTCCATCAACTCCAGCACAGTGTCGGGCCTCACCCACCCTAGCAATGTCTCCTTTAGCCCTGGAAACTTCACAGACTCACTTCCCTTCACTAAGTAATCCTGTTGCTGACTCAGGCCTTTTCCACTCCCTTCGTTGGCTCCTTGCCTCTTTTCCAGGAGTCCTGTTTACTACTGGTGCCCCCAAGATGTTGCCACCTGACTCTTAGGACTGTCGGCCCTAGAGCTGGAGGTGGCGGTGACAGAGGGATTTGGGGAGGAAGGACTCTCTTTGGCTCTTGTGCAAAGCTGCAGCCCTGCCTAGGCCTGGACCTTGTGGTTCTGGGTGGGAGGAAGGGCTTGGGTAACTATTGGCTGCTGAAGTGAGAGTCTTTGTTCTTGGCGGTCTTAGTGCCCAGAAGGGCTTTTTTCCTCGATTATCTTGGAAACTGGCTTGATGCCTTTGTAATTTCCATTAGGTAGAACATTTCATTTTAGATTTCTTCATCTGGGCAGCTTCTGCTGGCTGGGTTTAAGTAGCAATAGCTCTGATTTCTTGCTTGACTGCCATGTGCTCTTGGCCCTGTTTTAGGGGCTTTGTGAACATAGTGAATTCTGAGAACACTTCAGTGGTGATCCCATTTTGCAGGTGGAAAGGGAGTTGCAGAGATGTTACATAATTTGGTTACAGGGCCAGGAAGTGCCGAGTCGGGATTTTTAACCCCTTAGTCTCATTTCAAAGCTAATGTTCTTGCTGGACCTTAAGAATCATCTGTGATGCTTAGGGAAGCCTGGGTGGCTCAGTTGGTTGAGCATCTGGCTCTTGGTTTCAGCTCTAGTCATCGTCTTGGGGTTCTGGGATTGAGCCCTGCGTCGGGCTCCGCACTCAGGGAGTCTGCTTGAGGGTTCTCTCTCTCTCTCTCCCCCTTGCCCCTCCCCTTTCTTGCTCTCTCTCTCTAAAATAAATAAATAAATCTAAAAAAAAAAAAAATCATCTGTGATGGTTGTTAAAAATATGGAGCCAAACCTCTGGAGATTATCTGGAGGGGTCCCAGGAATCAGTATTTTTTACATAGGCACTGAGTGATTCGTTTTGAAAGTCCAAATTTGAGAAGCACCACCTTAAGGAGTTTGTAGATTTTCTGTACTTGGAAATGAGATTATTTCTAAGGATTCTCGTTTTCTTTTTATTTATTGCTGTGAAATTTGCTAATCTGACCTAAATCTGCCATTGAAAGGGCATTGGGCTAACTAGCCATGTGAATCATTTCCAGATACTTTTGGCCAGTAGCAGTAGGGTTTTTCCAGGCTGACATAATCAGGTCATTGAAGACCTTGTTTTCATCCCACTGGATCCTCTTGTTCCACAATTCTGTTAGTTTCTGCTCAGGGTCTAGAGTTTTCATAAGGTTCCAGTTTGTTCCTGAATAGTTGCCCTATAACACAGAGATCTCTGTAGTGGTGATGTCTCTGAGGATTGGGGTGCTTAAAAGGTATGTTTACTTCCCAGGTGTTCCTTCTACTGCATTTCTCTTCCCCTTCGTTGGTTTCTGTGAGAGACTTGAGCAAATACCAAACAGGTTTGTCGTGATTTGGCTGGTGCTGAGAAGTGGGGCCCCTGGGGCTTAGGATGGGCTGGAGAGGAGAGGAGAGACTCAACCATGAACACGTTATCAGACAGCGCAGGTCAGGTACGCCTAGCATTGAAGACATTAAGTACTTTAGTCCCCCTGCTAATGTATGTACTCTTTCCTTGGCAGGATTACAAGTAGTAGAAGACACAAAGTCAGCATTATACTAATCTTTCTCTTTCTTTCCAGTAAACACTGATTTCTAACTTAATTTCTTTGTAAACAAGGGATGTACTTTGTATGATTTGAAATGTTTTAATTTACTGAGACTTGTTTTATGGCCCAGGATATAGTCTTCCCTGGTAAATGTTCTATAAACACTTGGGAAAAATGTGTTTCCTGCTTTGTTGAGTGGAGTGTTGTATAAATGTCAGTTAAGTTGGTTGGTAGTGCTGTTTAAGTCTTAACTGCTTACTGCTTTTCTGTCTACTTGTTCTATCAGTTAGTGAAGAAGGGTCATTGAAACTTATGACTATAATGGTTGATTTGTCCATTTCTCCTTGTAGTTTTCTCAGTTTTTGCTTCATGTATTTTGAAGCTCTGTTATTAAGTACATAAACATTTTGAAGTGTCATTTGTTTGATGAATTGACCCTTTTAACCCCTGGTAATGAAATCTACTTCATCTCATATTAATATAGCGAATCCGGCTTTTAACAAATTATTGGATATCCAGAATATATACAGAACTACAACTCAAAAAAAGTGATCTGATTAAAATAGGCAAAGGACTTGAATAGACATTTCTTTGAAGAAGATATACAAATGACCAATAAGCACGTGAAGATATTCAGCATCACTGGTCATTAGAGAAATGAGAATCAAAATAACAATGAAATACCACTTCACACCCATTAAGATGGCTGTTATCAAAAAACCCAGAAGTGTTTGCAAGAGGATGTAGAGAGATTGGAACTCTTATTATTGCTGTGGGATTGCATTATGCACAGTAGCCAAAAGGTGGAAGCAACCCAAGCATCCATTGACAGATGAATGGACAAACAGAATGTGGTACATACATAGAACATTATCTAGCTTTAAAAAGGAAGGAAATTTTGACACGTGCTACAACATGGATGAAACTTGAAGAAATAATGTGAAGTGAAACAAGCCAATCACAAAGGGACAAATACTGCATGATGCCTCTTATGTAAAGTTCTTGGAGTAGTTAAGTTCACAGAGTCAGAAAGAAGAATGGTGGTTGCCAGGGGCCGAGGAGGGAGGAATAGGGAATTAGTGTTTAATGGGAATTAGAGTTTCAGTTTGGGATGATAAAAAAAATTCTGTTGGTGGTGGTGGTGATGGTTGTATAACAGTGTGAGTGTACTTACTGCCATAAAACTGTACACTTTAAAATAGTTCGGATGGTAATTTTTATGTTATATATTTTTTATCACAATTTAAAAATGGATAGTGTTTCAAAAATCAGCGTTTGCTTGGTGTTATTTCTTTATATCCTTCTACTTTTAAATTATGTGTGTCTTTAAAGTGGGTTCTTGTAGGCAACATATAGATAGGTTTTGCATTTTGTAAACTTCAGTTTTTCAATCTCTGCCTTTTAATTGGGATGTTTAGAACATTTACGTTTAATATTATTATTAGTATTGTTGGGCTTAACTATTATCTTGCTGTTTGTTTTCAATTTGTCCAGTATTCTTTCTTCCCGTTTCCTTTTTTTTTTTTTCCTGATCTCTTTGGGGTTGAGTCATTTTTATGATTTCATTTTGTTTCCTGTGCTAGTTTATTAGCTATAACTCTTTTTTGTTTGTTTTTTAGCAGTTGCCTTAGATTCATAGTATGCATCTTTAAAAAAAATTTTTTTTTTAAGATTTTATTTATTTATTTGACAGAGAGAGAGACAGCGAGAGAGGGAACACAAGTAGAGGGAGTGGGAAAGGGAGAAGCAGGCTTCCCACTGAGCAGGGAGCCTGATGCGGGGCTCGATCCCAGGATCCTGGGATCATGACCTGAGCCGAAGGCAGACGCTTAACGACTGAGCCACCCAGGCGCCCCCATAGTATGCACCTTTAACTTGCCACAGTCTCATCAAATGATATACCATTTTGTATACATTTATTTCTGTCCTCCTGGACTTTGTACTATTGTTGTCACACATTTCACTTCTATGTATGTTATAAATCCCACAATACATTATTATTTTGCTGTAAACAGTCAATTATTTTGTAAAGAGATCAAAAAGAAAATATATTTTATATTTACTTACATGTTTATCATTTCTGGTGTTCTTTATTCCTCTGTGTAGATCCATTTTGTTTCACATTCTTTCTGACTTGAGGACTTCCTTTAATATTTCTTGCAGGTGATGAATTCTTTCAACTTTTGGATGTCTAAGAAAGTCTTTATTTTGCCTTTGTTATTGAAAGGTGTTTTCCCTGGGTATGGAATTCTAAGTTGATCCTTGTAATTTCAACATTTAAAGATGTGGTTCCAGTGTCCTCTGGCTTGCATTGTTTCATATGAATAATCACTTGTCCTTTTTATTTTTTGTTCCATTTCGACTGTGCCCTTTTTCCTTCTGCTTTTATCCCTTTTTTTTTTAAGATTTTATTTATTTATTTGAGAGAGAGTGAGCGAGAGAGAGCACAAGCAGGAGTGGGGCAGAGGGAGAGGGAAAAGCAGATTCCTCACTGAGCAGGGAGCCTGACGCGGGGCTCGATCCCAGGACCCCGGGATCATGACCTGAGCTGAAGGCAGACACTTAACTGACTGAGCCGTCCAGGCGCCCCTTTTTATCACTGGTTTTAAACGACTTAATCATCATGATGTGCCTTGGTATAGTTTTCTTCTTGTTTATGGTGCTTGGGTTATTTGAGTTTTTTGGATCTGTGGATTTATAGCTTTCATCAAATTTGGAAAGTTTGCAGCCCATTAATTCTTCAGATAGTTTCTCTCGTCTCCTTTCTCTTCTCTGGGAACTCCAGTTACGAGTATGTTGGGAGGTCTGATCGCTGTTGTTCCACAGCTCTCTGATGCTT